TCACCTCACTGGGATCTGAGTGCGCTGGACTGACCTCACGCCCCTGACCACTGCTCATGTCCAGTCCGCAGCGCGCGCGGCCAGCGATGCACTGCGGTAGGTCTGCGCACAACTCCTGCCGGTCACACGAGTGCACTCTGACATGCAGTGGCAACGTGAGCTGGTCTGCTTTTGGTCCTGTTGGTGTATCTGTCTCTTCAAACACAAGGTTGTCATTGTTTTTTTACAAGAGTGGGGAGCTGCATCAGCATGCGTAGGTGGCAAAGAAACAGGTAAAGGTTTAATCCATGCTGAAAGGAAAAGAAAAGTTTCAGCTGTGGAGCTTCTTCAGGTGCATTTTTATTGCATCTGTTAGACGCAACTAAGCTGCCAGGTGGGGTGTTTGTGCCTCCTCTGTATTGTGCTAGATGTTGCGCCCTGGACTCCTAACTTCTGTGACTGGGACCAGTGCCTGCAGGGTGCCAGCCATGTGCCAGAGGGGTCCTGGCTCTGATTCATGCTGTTTACAGCAAGGAAATGTTTATTTTTCTTTGACGATTTTTTTCATCTTCATAAATTCTGCCGATGCCATCGGAGTCGTTTCTCTACTGCTGTGCATTTCCATCAGGGGGTTAGATGCCATTCATACATATTCAACCCAATTAGTCCTCCCGGGCATAAATAAAGGAAAGAGGCTGCAGACCATGTTCGGAGTCATGCCCGTTGTCAGGATTCGGCATTCCGGATGCACGTCCTCCGAGCACGATCTCGCCCCTCCCGGGCTCGGGCGTCCAGGGGACATGTGCAATTGGCTGACACTCAGAAGCAGAAAAGACAGCGTTTACACTGGTTTTTGTTTCACACCACTCTTATCTTTGTCCTTTGCTCTCTTACCTAGCTTGTGAGAGGCGGGGGAGATCTACAGCATCCGATCCACGTGTGACTGTGCAGGAGAGGTCCAAGGTCACCCTTTCATACTGTCACAATCGCTGGAATCTGGGGGGCGTTATTGACCGCTGAGGGCACAGGTTCCTCAACAGGGGTCACTGCTATTCAGTACTCTCGGCTCTACCCACTGGCCCACACTGCCTCCCTCTCTCTGGGCTCTACCCACTGGCCCACACTGCCTCCCTCTCTCT